ATCCCAACAAGCCTTTCCTATTCATGTACTTAACCAAATGACTTTTAAATGTTGTCACTGTACCTACATCCACCACTTCCTCTGGCAGTTCATTCCAAATATGAACCACTCTGTGTTTTAAAAAAAAAACAAAAAAAAAGTTGTCACTCATGTCCTTTTTAAATCTTTCTCCTCTCACCTTAAAAATATGCCCTAGTTTTGAACTCCCCCACCCTAGAGTGAGGATCTTTCTGAGAGTTGCCTCACTGTATTTACTTCATACTGGGTTGTTTAGGAATGCATAAACGAGCATGAGGAGGCCATTCAACCACTTGAGTTTGCTCTGCCATTTAATAAGATCATTGTTAATTTGTTCATAACCTCAATTCCACACTCCTGCCTAGTTCAGAGTCAACCGCATTGCTGTGGGTCTGGAGTCATGTTTAGGCCAGACCAGATAAGGATCTTAGTTTCCTTCCCTAAAGGACATTAGTGAAGCAGATGGGATTTTCTGACAATCGACAATGGATTCATGTTCATCATTAGGTTCTTAATTCCAGATTATTGAATTCAAATTTCACCATCTGCCATGGCTGGACTTGAACCCATGTCCCCAGAATGCGATCTGGGTCTCTGGATTAAAAGTTCAGCGATAATACCACTAGACCATCGCCTCCCCTTACTAAGAATCTTACTGACCCCTTACTAAGAATTGTGACCTCTGCCTTGAAAATATTCAAAGACTCTACTTCTACTGTCTTTTTAGGAACAGTTGAAAAGACTCATGACCCTCTGTGATATAAAAATTCATCTCATTTTCTCTCTCATCAGGGCAATTCCTGATTTTTAAACAATGGCCCTGAGTTCTAGATTATCTGGAGTGGAAAAACATTGCCTCTAATCTGCATTGTCAAGACCTCTCAGAATCTTGCATGTTTCAATCAAGTCGGCTTAAACTTCAATTGATCCTCCAGTTTCTCAGCAAATCAGCACAAACTGGAGGAACAACATCTCATCTTCAGACTTGTCACATTACAACATTCTGGACTTAATATTTAAATTGTGAACCCATTCCCATTTCTTCCCTTTATTTTAGCGTTACTTGTTACCATGTCCTCTCTCCCCTCCCCTCACTCCAGTGGGACTGTTCTTTCCAGTTTGGCAGTTAGACACACCATTGTTCTGTGATTCTCACATTCTGATCACTTGATATACTCTATCAATACCCTTTCTCACCCAGAACTCCACCGCTTCACCATTGACAAATGCAGCCCTCCACACTTCATGTCAACTCTGATGAAGAGTCATCTAACTCGAAGCTTCTCTGTCTCCATGGATGCTGCCTAATCCACTGTGATTTCCAGCACTCTTTGCTTTCCTACTATTTCCTACTTTCTTACTAACTCTCCTTGGAATAAATGAGAGTATTGTTAGCTTTCCTCACTATTTGCTATGCCTACGTACTAGCCCTTTGTGTTTCATGCTTTCAGATATCCAGATCTCTCTGTATCACAGAGCTAGGCAATCTATTACCGTTTAAATGATGTTTCCTTTTTGATTTTGCCTATCAAAACAGAAAATTTCACATTCTTCCACATTGTAATCCTTTTGCCAAATCTTTGCCAGTCACAATCTATTTATCTCCCTTTGTGCTTTCCCTATGTTCTCTTCACAACTTATTTTCTTACCTAACTTTGTATCATCAACTAATGTTGCAACCATACCTCCCATCCCTTCATCCAAGCCCTGTATAAATTGTAAACCATTGAGACCACAGCATACCTTCTCTCTGCTTCCTATTTTGCTAGCCAATCTTATCTCCATGCCAATATACTACCCTGAAACCATGAGCTTTTATTTTTTGCAATAATCTTTGTGACACTTTTATCAAATGTCTTCTGGACATCGAAGTACAGTATATCCATCGGTTTCTCCTTTATCCGCAGTATAGGTCACTTCCTCAAATAACTCTGCTAGATTGGTTGACTCTGCGTCACTACTTTGTGTCCTAATGACTTACCTATTACAATTGTTAAGCTAACTGACCTATAGCTCCTTGCCTCTATATTTCTCCCTTTTTGCATATCTTTCAATCCAAAGCAACATTCCCAATCTGGGAAGTTTTAGAAAATTCAAACCAATGCATTAACTACCTTACTAGCCACTTCTTTTAAGACTCAAGGATGAAGTCCATCAGGATCTGGGCATCTGTCAGCCCCAGTTCCTACCTAATTTGCCACAGTTCCTCCCTTCCATTTCCTGATTTTATAGCTGCTTCTTGATGTTACTTATATCGTGTATAGTGAAGACTGAATCATCTGCCATCTCTTTATTTTTCATTGTCAATTCTCTAGACTTGCTTTCTATAGGACCCAAATCTTACTTTGTTAACTCTGTTCTTTTTAAAATTTTTGCAGAAATATTTAGTACGTATTTTCATATTTCCAACTAGCTTTCTCTCATATTTTAATTTTCCCTTTTTATCACTCTTTGTTAATATTCTGTCCAATTTTTGCACAATTTATCTTTATCTTTAAGGTTGTTATTGTATTGAACATTTCTAGTTAATCAAGGATGATGGGTTTATCCTTTTGGAATCTTTATGTCTTGTTGGAATTTTATCTATTCTGTATATGCTGAAATATCTCCTTATTAATCCACCACTGCATTTCCATTAAGATCACACTCATACACTGATTCCCTGTACTAACATGTTTTAAAGCAGGAGAAACCTGAGAACAGATTGCTTGATCTCTTAAAGAATAATATGTTGCAAAGAAAGGTCCTTGTAGAAGAATTAATATGGTTAAAAAATGGAAGAGGATATAAACAGAAACTTGTGCTACGGTTCTATAAAGCATAAAGCCTTTTAAAAGACTTCTCTGATTTAAGAATTTTTAACAAATTGACTTGCATGTCCAGGCTCGTTCCTATTTTGTATCTGCATTAATGTTACTGCATCTTGGCAACTTTGCCGCAACAAGTCTCATTCACTTAAGTTGTACAGAATAAGTTGTAAAAAGATAACAAAATTAAACCTCCATTTTACGAACAGGATTTGGGAATGATTCTGAAAGGAGAAATCAAACCTCTCTTGCCTTGACGTCAGCTGAGTTAGTGCTTTCCTAATCTTATCAACAAATGGGGAATAATTGTTTCTGCCCTGCTGTAAGCACTGTTGATATTATAATGACTGTCCTTTTTCATTGCTGATAATGTTGGCATGTCTGGACTTGGTGATGGTTGGAATCTCATAGCTGAGTAGTGGTTGCTACCCACATAAAATACACAAGACATTCAACTGCACATCACAGGCGGAACAGTCAGCTTGAACAAAGGATTGTTTTTGTTCATGTGCTTATGATAAAGAATCTGTTATATCCAATTAACATTGCTTGATTTTTTTTTAAAGGTGACCTAGTATTGCTGCTTGAGATATATCACAAGCAATTCTTAATTATTTTACTTTTTTTTTAAAAAAAAAATCATCATACAATATCCTGTTTTAAAACCGGGCTATTGAAACGAAAGGTTTCACAAAACACCTGCATTAAACACAGCCTGTGCTTATGTCATTAAATAAAATCTTGATTTCTTGAGCTTATGATTTACCTGAGTCCTTGCTTTGCACTAAATTATAGTTTATTTAAATTAAGAAATGATTTAAATAAGAGTTTTCCTTGCAACTTGGTGGCAGCTTGTCAGCAGATTTCTAGCACAAGGTGGCAACCAAGTTTTCCTTTGTTATAGGATCAGAGAAGTGCAGAGCAGCACGTCGGGCCTCTCTACCTTTGTTTACTGTTTGTTGTACTGCATCACACAGGCAGCAATTGTTTTTCGGTCTCTATTGTATCCCTCACTGGGTGCTCTCTAACTGGGTAGTTTAAGGAACATGACCAGACTTGTTCATTCTCTTTTTGTTTGACTTGCATTTCCATTGATACTATTCGAAGTGTTTAGATTTCAAAGACTCTTAGCAACAGCTTTTGTTGATGATTTAAAGGAGGGGTTATTAACGAAAGGCTGCTCATGTACGAAACCAGAATATAGTGTAGTGGCAGTTATCTTCCACAGTACTGAATTTTCTTTGTACGCTTAGCACGCAAACTTCCCACAGAAGGCAGGTTACAAAGAACTGTTGTGCCAAAGAAAATGACATATGCAGTTAAAATATTTTTTATTAATAAAGAATTGAATTCCAGCTTGCATTCTTGAATACCTAAAACATTAACGAACTTGTAAGGAACTGATGTAGCAAGCAAAATATTCAAAGCTCTGCTAAAAAGTAGTAGCAGATATTCTGAAACTTAAGTTTCTTCACAGAAATTGCTCTTTTGTTATTGAATCACTGGCATTAGGTTTCCTACTTCTTTGATCAGAAGTCTAGCTCTACACCAGTTCACTTCAACAAACAGAAAATTGCAGACTCACCTCAAATTTTGAGTCCTGGACATAATAGGAACAAGTATATTGGAGTAAATGGGCAATATTTCACTGACGACATAGGATTCACCTTGATTAAAGAATTTAAATACCAGTTTTCTCCATAGAGTATAACTACAAGAACTCTCCTCAAGAAAAGATTATTAATTAAAAAGCATATTTTAAACATATTAATTCTTGTTTATCAATAGGCAATAAATAGTCGCAGGCCATTCAACAGTTCAGAACATTGCAGTTCAACTTGATCCTGTCCTATCACCACCCAATGCCCATATGCACATGCTTTCCAGCAGGATTAGTATTTGCAATGGAGGCCATCGTAATTATTTTTCACTCAGCTGCAATTGTAATATCCCAGCTGTTCTTCAACTGAGACATATTAGCCCAACATGCCTCAAATAAAAAAAACTGACCTTTTGATCAATTTCATTCAATGCTGTACTATGTAACTTCTTGACCTACTGGACCAATGAGCAAACGCTGTCCACCTGTAAATTTGTAATAAAGGTAGCATTAATCAGTGGGAAACTCCACATAAGTGATGAATTAAATTGATGGTTTACATAGTAAATCAGTAATGCGACCATTTTGTCCCAAGTGGAAATGGAGTCTGTATTCCAGAAAAAAAACAAACTCGTAAAATAACAAGAGGTGAAAATAGTGGCTTAAGAATTTTGTTTTACTTTTTCAGTGATTTTATACAGCTGACTTGCAAACAAAGTGGGAGTGGGTGGATATTTAGTTTAGAATGTTGTCAAAGTTGATGAGAATAACTATAAACCTAAACGATCAAATGTTCTCATGCTTTTAATGTTTCTACGCTGCTGAGATCATAGAAATAGCATTTGTAAAGCACAGCCTGTCACAGATGAATAGCTTAAATTGTAAAATTAAATTGATTATTTTAGATTTACATGAAGTAAAGCCATTTAGAAAAAATGTTAACTGCGGAGCTCTAAATTAATGATATTGGGATTCTTAGTTCATTTTTAGTTGCAACAAGGTCTGTTTAGCTTGCTGATAATTTGGAATCAAATCAATATTAAGTTGATGGTCCTGATTTCTTTACAAGAAATTGTTAAATCCACGTTCACATTTACAGAGCTACTCTTCTAAGACTGAGATAAAACAGTGTTTTGGGATAGAGAATTTTGAACTAGTCTATATCAAATCTGAATGTTTCTTAATTATTTATGTGCCATTAAAATTGCTTGGAGTACTTACCATTTTGTGTTTTCGAAGTTATCAAAAATTTAGCAATGAGACACTAGAAGCCGGAAAATGTTTTTCTGCAAATGGATCAACTTCAGCTGCTGAGTTATAAGTGCTGTCTGGATTAAATTTAGAACTCTGAGCTTTATTTGAATAATGGATACTGAGCAGCAAGTTACAAGGTTAGTTTAAGCAAGTTGGTCTGTTTATATGATGCATTGCAAGAGTGAATCTCCAGTGATTTAGGAGCATACCAGTTAGGAGCAGAAGTAGACCACTCAGCCCCTCAAGTTTGTTATGCTATTCAATAAGATCATAGCTGATCTGATTACACCACATTTCAGTTAATCCCTGGTAAGTTTTCATGCTTTTATTTATCAAGAGCATTAGCAGAATCTTGGGAATACACTTTAACCTTGAATTCTCATTAAAGATGTACTTTGTGTTCTCACACAATGGGCAGCTTCTCCTAAACGTGGTAATTCATTGACACTAGTGACATAAGGCTAAGTTATCTGGACAGCAGGGACAAGTCTTTGTAGCTGATCTCAGCCACTTCCTTGGATCGTAGAAAGTTTTACTAGAAGTTGGATCAGACACATCAAGTGATTGTCCTTTTCTGTGCATGGAACAATTTGTTTGAATCCACACTTGTTCCTCCCCTTGCTGCAATGCTCTGTATGTGCTAAATCTTAATCCTACAGAAAAGTAGCCTGCTATCTTTGTACATTGATAAAGCACTAAGCTTGAAATGATTTTTTTGTTTTTGAAAAAAATTGAAGAATCTTTGGCTACCAAAATTATATCCCTTAGGAAGGGCTTTCCTCTGAACTCCTCATACCCTAATCATCATTAGAGCCTTAGTTGTGGTGAAAATGACAAAAAAAATTTACAAAGCTCCAAAGATTCAGCCATGAAATTTTGTAAAATCTCTGATTCTCACCAAAGGAGTCACCTCTAGGATTTCTAAACTTTTATAGTTGAGTCCACAGTAGTTCTGAGCAAGTGCATCACAAAGTAACTAGCTATAACTTGGATAGCGGTCTGTCTCATATTCAAAGAACAACTACATATGGCAGCAGTCTTCTGTTTGTTATCACAACTATGAAATGAAAACAGTTGCTTTGACGAGAATCAAGGCCTAGTGTATGATTGTCTGCAAAAGAATCCATCTATTTCACAACCTTTCAAACACTTGCATATAAATTCCACATCTCTTAAACATAAACTGCTTTTCCAACTATAAAATATTTTCTAAACTCCAACACAAGTCCCACCTCTTCGCCCCTCAAACTACATCTCCTTTGCTTAAAATTTTCTCACCCATTCGTCTCGATATTAAACTGCACATCAATAAAAATTTTAAAAATAATATGGAAATCAGTCTCTTGCCAGTTAAATCAAGTCGAGAAACAACAATGCCTTATATTGAGTTGCAGTAATCTTTTGTAATTTCAGGAAAATTGTGTCTGTTGTAGTTTGAGAAAACACTTGTTTGTAGATGACGTGTTTCATAGCAGCTGATGTCTTCAAAACACTCCGCTTCCCTTGCAGACAGTGGTGTATTCAGCTTAAGTTGCTGAAGATGAAGGATCTTGTGCCGAAATCTTAAAGTAATTGATGAGGAGTCTGTCATGGAATTGCAGGCAAGAAACAGAACATCACACAGCCAGGCTCAGTCTTTAGAACCCAGTCACATTATTTAAAGTCATGGATGGAAAGAAATGATGAATTGTTACATGACTGAAAGCCTGTTTACTGACCATTAGTCTGAACCTGGACTACTGGCTTCCAAAGCTTTGATGCCTTTGGCCCCATGCATTACTTGTACATTTTAGAAGATATGTCGGATACCAGAGCAGTAATCAAATGACCTGACCTGATGTAAATTAAAAAAAAGAGTTCTGATAGTACAGAATCTTCTAACTTAATATTAACTCACATGAGTTAGGGAGCCCAGTTTAGTGACAGAATTAGAAATAACCAATGGAAAGGTGATCTGGTCCAGCAAATAAAACAAAACCCTCATATTTATACAATATATTATCCAAGCATTGCAAAATGTATCAGGAACCTAATCAACTCTTAAAATGGAGCAACTGTTAGGTTGTAGGCAACTATTTTGTGCTAACAGTTTTGTACCAAAAAAAACTGGAATAAATGGGCGCAGTTATTGATTTGATGGTGTCAGTTGAAGTAATGTTTATACTTTGAGATGGTTTACAATCCTAGCATGTTAATATATTCGCATAGCTAATTAAAGGGTTTTGGCAAACAAACTTTAAAGACTGATCAGTCAATGCTTTGCTTCAAATTATGTTTGACATTATTAGTTTCTGAAGCTTGCAGCATTCTTGAACAGGTTTGATTTAACATTAACAGTTTTTTTTCACAATGCAAAGTTCAGGGATTAGTTGTCTTCACTTTGTTTTTATAAGTATTACAGTCATCATGAAGCACAGAAAACTTAACCATATCTCTTATTTTAAATGCTAGATTGTGAAGTAATGCACCTTGCAACCCCGTTGTGCTCCCATTTTAAGCCAATCTGAGCTTTTAATTACAACTGAAGTTGCAAGCTGTATGTTGTCTCCATGTCACATTTCTGCTTTTTCTTAAATTTTATCTTTAATTTTATTTCCCTCCTCCAAGTAATTGCTGCTGTAAGGATGGAGATCATTTACTTGCTACATTCGGAATTTTATTTTGCTTTAATTTTAACCACCCGGTTTTGTTTTAAAATATTTCTTCTATTTGACACCTTTTTGCAATCAGATATCCTCTGTTCATTTACTGCTCTTTTCCGTCTTCCTCTAAATGAGCTGTTTGTTGATAAGACCAATCAGTGTAAACTCCAAAATAGTGGGACCATCCAGGATATTAAGGTTCTTCTGATAAACAATGCCACAGTTTGTGTTTGGTTCCCTACAAACAGTGATTGTTACCTTTTGATTTATTATAGTTTTACCAATGCATTTCTTTGAGTTGCACTTCTAATTAAAGATTTGACAAATGGAGATTTATGCTATTTGACAGCAGGATGGGAACCACGTTCCCTTTTATAGCAGCCAAAGAGAGAAAAAGGGCTTTTCCAGCTTCCAGCAATGTGTTTGTAGTCTTGACCCCTTTCATATGCTGGGAATGTACAGCCAGAAGATAAATAGCACCTCCCTTGTGTTTTCTTGACCTCTGACTGTCCATTCACTTCCCATCTGTTTTTCTGCCCACAAGGAATGGGTTGATATAAATCTTTCTTCTCTAGAGATAAATGATGTTCTGGATCTTAAAGGGCAGCACATTGGGTGGTTTCCCTTTTTAAAAGCTAGCTAGTTTTCCTTTGGGCCACATCTACTTGAAAACTCTGCCTTATGAAGTAGGTGTTAGAAGCAGAGCGAAAACAGTGGGTATCTCCGAGTTTGTGCATAAGCTTTTATTTTCATAAAGGACTCTTTGTCATCATCAGTAAATCATAGCCTTGTTCACTTTGCAATGAAACCATTGGACAAATTTAAGAGGAAGAACTGCTGAGTAAAAGGTGAACGTTTTATTTTCTGCACTGAGAAAAGTGTTAGCAGACAACATTGCATGCTGCAGTGCTAAAATATATTATTCAAATTTTTCTTAAAAATCAATATTAATTGATTATAAAATAAATGCCGTGTATAATGTTCAACAGAGATCCAAGATGCAATTCTATTGCTTTGTTATTCACTTTATATATAAAGGAAAAAAAATGTGCATTACCTTTATGACAAGAACAAACTCTACATAGAAAAGTTATCCTAGCAATAACTGTGTTCTGAAGGGCACCAAAAGTAAAAAAAAATATTTTTATTCAGAATACAAAATACACAGCATAACACTACTCATCAGCTGTTTGTATTAGCTCAGCAGAGAAATTACTTCTGTAGCCATATGTTAAAAAAGGTACATGTCAAAAGAATTGATTTATTTCTGTTATATAGAAATTAGTTTGTACAAATTTGGATTGTGTGATTGGGGTATCATCTGAGGCTATATGTTTTTGCTTTTATTAGTTGATCGGTGTTTTTGCAAACTACATGTATGCCATCAGATAAAATGGAATTAGTGGCCTTCATGCGACTTGACCTGAACAGAAGTTCTGTTCCACCTGTACTGTTATAATATTGTTCCATCACTGAGTGGATAAAGGGGAGCCAGTAGATGTGTTGTATTTGGACTTCCAGAAGGCGTTTACAAGGTATCTCACACAAAAGGCTAAACCATAAGTTAAGACCTCATAGTGTTGGAAGTTTTATTTTGGCATGGATAGAGAATCAGCACGTGGGCATAAGGGTTCTTTTTCAGGTTGGTGACCTATGACAGTGGGGTTCCACAGTACTCGAGAACAGGTCTCACCAACATCCTGTACAATCTCAACATAACATCCCAAATCCTATACTGAAAGGTCTGAGCAA